CTGGTGTCTGTACCCCCCCTCCCCCCGCCTCCCAAAAACCCAGGCCAGACCCTCCTCATCAACACCCCCACCCCAGGCGCACAGGCACAAATAACCGCCACATCCAACTCCAGCACCGTCATGACAAAAAACGCGAGCGTGTTCGCCACCTCGACACCTTCATCCTCGTCGTCGTCGTCGCCGCCGGAGTGATGGGTGTGGATGTAGCCGCCGGCTTTGAGACTGAGTTGCAGTCTTGTCAGGCTAGCCACAGCGACGAAGACGCCTAGGCTGAGGACCACGCCGAGAATGGCCCGCTCTCGGGGGGGGATTTGAATACGGACGATAACGGGAATGATAAGCATGATGAGCCAGACGTCGGTGGCGGTGTGTAAACTCGTGCTGGCGATGAGCAGGGGTTTGAAGTCGAAACAATGCGGGACGGCGGTGGGGGAGTTGAAAAACAGGCCGGGAAGGGGGTGGCATTGGAAGATTGTGATGAATAATAGTGGGATGCCATAGCACATCACAGCGGTGATGGTCAGAACGGTGAGGAGTCGCAACCGGCGGGTGGAGGCGCAGGAGGAGAAGATCCTGAGGTAAAAGGACAGAATCGAGAGTTTGGTCAGGCAGAGGGAGAGTTGATAGAAGATGAGGGCGAGGTAGGTTCGTAGCGTATAATGGTGGTCGTGATGGGTGGTGGGGAAGGAGGTGGTTGTTGTGGTGATGGTGTAGGTTGCGCAGACTGCTGTTGAGAAGAGGAAGGACGACAGGATGAGCGTGTCTTCCCACCAGAACCATTTTTTGAGGAGGAACAACCGGGAGAAAAGCCGGGAGAGGAGGAAGAGGGTGCCGATTATGTGGGGAGTTAGGATGCCGAAGAGGATGCCGGGGATGATGTTTTGGGGGGGAGAAGGTGAAGATGCATCGTCGGTTGTGGATGGGGCTGTGATGTTGCTAGAGGGCTGGAGTAAGGGGAAGGTGAGGTTGAATTTGGTGTGGCCTGGTTCGGTTAGGCCTATTTGTGCGGCCATGATGGCGGCGGTGGTGAGTGTTTAGTGTTCTCGAGTTTGTGTCATGAGTGGCTGGCGGACATCATCATCGGTTCGGCCTTGCTGTGATCTGTGATCTCTCAATGTGCGTTCCTTCTTAAATCCTCTCTCACTGCTCACAATTCGCATCCATCCCTTCCGTCGCACAAAAAACACAAAAAGGAACAAACAGCAACCAAGCAATAACCAAATCGAGGGCAACGGTGTCATATAACAACACCCGTCCGCATCCCTAGATCTGCACCGTCCGATCCCCTCAACCACCACCACCCTCCTCGCTCCCTCGCATTGTACATACGAGACATACATGACCGACCACCAAGCGACAGAGAGATCCGGTACACCACCCACACGGACTCACCACCCAGACCGTCCGGCCCACCCCCAAACCAAGCCTCTCCCGTCTTCGTTGCACTGGATCACGGAAGAAGAACAAAACCTATATCAGGAATCTGCCATGCACCCTAACCCGACGGCAGCATGCACCCTCTCCGTTCTCCCCCAACTCCAAATTCCCCTCATTGGCTGATTGCAAACAGTGCAACTCGGCAATCATGAACGGCAGAATTGACCTGCATATGCAAGAGCGCAGACAAAACTGCGGGGGTGGAGGCAGATCCCACCTCGTCCGTTCACTCTCTCCCTGTTCTGGTCATCAATCAAGAGAATAAAGCCATGTCCCGTTACTGCCGTCGAGCTGTCGATATTAACAGGCGGGAAAGGCGGCCACGGGCCGATTTCGCCATGGTGTGTGCTGAAGCACGCAAGGCCAGATGGTCAATTGCCGGATGTTCGCAGACGGTTGCTTTGACATGGCCGGCCGTGGCTTGGTTGTACTAGGAAACACCAACTTTTTGTCTCCAATCCGTTGTCTATCCAATGCCAGAAACAAAAATGTCTATTTTATTAGAGAAGCCAAAAGTTAGGAAAAAGAAGAGATGCATGGATCTATTACCTGTCCAACACGCACCTCAGCCCAGTTCTTCATGAAACTTGGCCATCTCCAACACCACCCCACCGGAACTCGACAATCTGTTGTCCTTCGGCAGACCAAACGGCATAGGTCAACTGCCCGGCCTGGCTCCCTCGAGAACCCACGCGCGGGCCTCTCCCCGCTAAATGTAACCCTCACGCAGCAGTGCGTTTGTGGAGGAAGACAACTACCGATCTGTCAACCCGTCTTTGACATCTCCAACAGTTCCTCAAGGCACGACGACCTTGGGATATCGTCATACCCTCCCCCCATCTCCCCATCAACCCTCACCCACCACCCGCCCCAGCCTCAAATCTTCCTCTTCACCAACCCCCTCCAAAAGTCAAAACTGTTCTCATCACTCTGCAGCGCCCAAACCCTCCCCGTCCCCCTCAACGCCCCGTTGATCCCCCCCTCCGTCACCTCCTCCGCCTTCAACATCCCCCAATCCCTCGTGATGCCCACCACCCTCGCCCTCACCCCCCCTTCCGCCTCCAGAGTCACAACCTGGTTGCTATGCAGCCAATACCGGTAATACTTCTCCTCCAACCCCTTGCTAAAACCCCCTTTCACAAACTCCCCATACAACACCTCCAACCTTGCCAACAGTCTGGCGAGCAACCTCTCTATTTTGAACGGTTGAAGGCTGTCTTTGTTCGACATGAGCGGGATAACCGCATCAAGCGAGGTAGTTGGTCTCGCATTATTCGTGTTAATTCCTATCCCCAGAACAACCTGGTAGTTCCCTGCCGTGTAACTGCAATTTGCCAAAATCCCAGCAACTTTGACATACGTGACAGAGTCAGAGTTGTTAGGATCGCGTACGTAGACGTCATTGGGCCATTTCACTTTGACAGGGAAATCCTCGTAGCCCACATCGTACGTTTTGATCGCTTCCACGATGGCGATGGCGGCGAGGTATTGGATAAAGACTATTGGTCTGGTACTGGCGAGGTGAGCAGGGTGGTTGATGACTGTCGACATGATCAACGACCCCGGCGGGGCAACCCAAACATTTGACCCGCGCCCTCGGCCAGCGACTTGGGTTGTTGCTGCGAGGGTGAAACCCGTGGAGAGGTGGGAGAGGAGCTTGTGGTTTTTCTCGAGGAGGGTGTTTGTGCTTGTCACTACCTCGCCGTACATGAGCACATCGCCCCATTCCTCCGCCCCGGGGTTTTGCTCGCGGGATTGGCGAAGACTGGAGTAGTAAACCGCGTGGTTGAAGTAAGGCGTCTCCTTGGGTTCCGGCCAGGCTGTTTCATGGGATACGATGCGCTTCGGGATGTGGCTGTAGTTTGTTGTTGGGTCTGGGGAGCCCCGGCTGGGGCTTATTCTTGGTCTTTCCAGCTCACTCTGGAGGGCTCGGCTGAGGGATGTCAGGTCCCAGCGGGATTCTGGCTTTTCGAGGTGGAAGAGGTCGTTCTCGCCTTTGATGTACTCGTCGCCGTCTTCTTTTGTGATGATGTCGTCGAGCGAATGGAGGAGCTCCCCTACTTCGTTGTGATGGATGGAGGACACGTGAAGTTTGGAAAGACTGGGAACGGCTGTCCCTCTGCTTACTTCCAGTCCTAGTTTGGTTAGACAGGCCTTGAGGAACGTTGTCCTAGATGGTTCATCTGCAGCGAGCTCCTCAATGAGCTTCTCATACTCGGGCAGGTCGGAGTGTCTGCCGAGATTGACGGCGTCGAACCTGGCACATATCAGTCCATCATCCTAGAGACAAAAAAGAAAAAAGGAAAAAAAAAAGGAAAAAAGCACTCACTCAGGATGAGGCCCAGTCAAAATCGCCGCTCCCTCCCCAACCTTGCAGTACACCATCGCAGCCTTTACCTCCCCCGATTCCACATCCAAATCCCCCTCATACTCAGCCAAAATATCAACCTCGGCCCCCTCACCCGCAAGCTTCTCAGCATCAACAAAAACACCACCACCATTATAGTAGCATTTAAACACCTCCGGAAGCTCCCCATCCCCATCAAATCCCTCCTTCCTCACCCTCACATCAGCAGCTCTTGCCCCGCGCTCACTATGATACTCAAACCCCTTGAACGCACCACCCCTACAAATCCCAGGATAAAATCCCAACTCCCTGCTCCCCACAACCTCCATTGACGCATTCCCAACCTCAAACTCACACCTCTGACTTCCATAGTAACCACCTGCACAAAAGCCCAAATACGCCCCCCCGCGACGGACATACTGAGCGATATTGCGGTTTCCGGGGCCGTTGAGAACACGGCAGTACCCTAGATCAGCACCGCCAGGGAAAACAAGCAGAGCGCAGGTAGGTGCCCATGGCTCCTTGAGAATGGCAGTTTCTGTGATGGGGATCACGGCGTAGTTGGGGGAGAGCAGCCGGCGGAGGGAGTAGATGCAGTGGCGGACTGACTCGAGGGTTGAGCCCGTGCCTTTGGAGATGTAGACATTGTTAGTTGGAGGTTGTTATTCTAAAGGGACGATTAAAAATCCGCACCGGTGTAGACCAAGACATTGAGCTTGTTGAGCTTTCGTGAGGTCATTTCAGCTGTTGTGAGTGTGTTGTTGCTGCCGTTACAGGGGTGTGACTCGGCGGCAGCTCGGGACTGGAGCAAAAAATAACGGTAAAGGTAGTGGCGGATATGTGTCGAAGCCTTTTTACTCGGTCAAATAGTCTGAAAATAAACAAAAAACAAAATATTTTTGTTGGTGCAACACAGGCTCGGCCGATCCGAAAAGATACAATGGGCTCAGCACCTTCCAAGGACGACGACAAGAGACCGACGGTTGAGCAGCCGACACCGCCGGCGGCGGAGCAGGAGGATGATGAGCCTGACGAGTGGTGAGTCCTCTCAACGTTGAGAAGCGGTTGATACTGATGACCGACTGCGGCAACCATGCAGGGACAAGCGTATTTTCAGCACCGGCTGCGCAGGTACGTTTTGGTCTTTTTGGAGAGAGAGTGATTTGGGGTTTGATGTCGTTATCCCGGTGATTGCTGGACGGACCTGGGTTGAGGATGACCCGCCGCTGATGTGCTTGAACACAGAGGAAAATGCAAAGTTGACCGACTGTTACTACGAAAAGAAGGACTGGAGGCAATGCAAGGAAGAGGTATGTTATCAGTCAGTAATATTGAGTGATCTCGAGACTTACAAGACACAGATGGAGATGTTCAAACAGTGTTGGAAGATGCAGGGCAACGATAAGCGGACTGATAGCAAAGATGTCTGATAACGACAAGACATGGCCATTTCACCTGGACGCAACCTTGACATTATGTATCATGATATTAACCTCTCTCTCATGATTTATTTGGCCCGATTCGATGAAGAATAACTGCTGTGGCCACTGAGAAAAGACTGGAAGGCTGAATTGCCCTGTCCAACACCCCCTGCAACCGTTTCCTCAGCGCTCGCTCAAAGGCCCAAGCTTCTGCGCAAACCTGCCAGCCAAAATTTCCACTCTTCCATCATCGTATCAACACCACCACCATCACCACCAAAACAACCACCTCTCCTCCTCCTCCCTCCCCACACATCGCCTATGCGACCACCCACAATGCGCACCACCGCCCTCCAAGCCTACCGAAAAGGCGTCCAATCCCTCACCCGCCCATCAACCACCTCCCGCCTCCTCCCCCCATCAACCACCACCCGACAAGCCTCCTCAACCACCACCCCCCCAAGACCAAACCCCTACATCCGCAAACCCATCTCCAAACCCCTCACCTCCAAAACCCTCCCCCCAACACCCTCCCCCGCTCCCACCGCCGAAGAAGAACCCCTCATTCCTGAAGCCCCCCAAACCCACGACCTCGACCCCTCCTTCAACCCCCCTATCCACAACCCCTCCGCCTCCCCCCCCTCCCAAACCTTCACCACCGCCATCAAATATTGCCTCCCCCTCCCGCCCCTTTCCCCCCTCCGACTCAGGAATCGACTGGTCCTCCTCCTTCCACGGCCTCAGCACCATCGCCTTCTCCCCCGAAACCTCCTCCATCCTCATGGCCCCCCTCGACCCGATAGACGTCGAAATGAAGCCAGACGGGATAATCTACCTCCCCGAAATCAAATACCGCCGCATCCTCAACCGAGCCTTCGGTCCCGGCGCCTGGGGCCTCGCGCCCCGCGGTGAACTCGTGGTATGGCGAAAAGGTAGTAACGCGGGAATACGCCCTCGTCGTGCACGGCCGGTAAGCCCCCCTTCCCCTCCCCAAACAAAAGAAATGCTGTGCTGATATGAAATGGAAAAAAAAAAGATTCGTCGCCCAAGCCCGCGGAGAATGCCAATACTTTGGCGAAGACAACATCCCCACCGCCGGCGAGGGCTGCAAGTCCAACGCCCTCATGCGCTGCTGCAAAGACCTCGGCATCGCCTCGGAGCTCTGGGACCCGAGGTTCATCCGCGAGTTCAAAAAGAAGCACTGTCACGAGATCTGGGTCGAGCACGTCGTTAACGGAAAAAAAAGAAAAGTCTGGACGAGAAAGGACGGCGAGCCCATGTATCCTTACAAGGTCTCCAAGGGGGGTGCCACGACATCGAGTTCATCAGCAAGAAGGGATGATCTTGGGCCGGTGATATAAAACAGACCGAAAGAAGAATTGTAAGATATGGATGTGTTTGTGAACGATAGACAGCTGCATGGCACATCGATGTTTTCTTGTGAAGTAGATGTTCATATTATACCAATCACGCTATACACCATGTATTCATGGAGAACAAAGAGACCAAGTCCCGTCTTTTCCTCGCAGCGAAGCTCCTCAGATCTACCTCTGTAGTGTATTTGTCTTGAAAATAACCAAAAAATCCAACAAAACACAGCACTCCAACCTAACCATAACCAATGATATGAAAATCTCGTTGTTGATCCTGCTGTTAAAAAGACCATCTCACATCTATTGTCCCCCATCAAACCCCGAGCTCCTCCCCTGCTCCTCCTTCTTCCCACCAGCACCGGCAGTATTCCCCCCCTGTCCCCAAGCCCACGGCATCCAACCCCCCGTCGAAGTACCCCTCTCCGGCACCTGCCTCCTGTGGACCCTCGGCTCATCCTCCTCCCCACTCTCGGCCTCTAGCTTTTCAAAATCCTGCTCTGACCGGCTCTTGGACAAACCGCTGGCCGACCCGGGGGACCCATCCTGCGACACCGACCCCAGCCGGTTATCATGCAAAGCTGCCTGTTCCTCCCGGTCAAGCGCCGACATGACAATGTTGAGTCTCTCTCGCTGAGCTTGAATAAACGACATACGAGCTGAGGCGCCCGCTCCACGGACAGAAGGGGGGATGATGCTTGACCATGAGTCTGGTCGCTGTTGCTGCGGTGTCGGGGTTGAGGGAGCAGCAGAGGCCGAGGCAGCAGCGGACACGGCCGAGGCGAGGAAAGAGTAAAAATCCGAGCCGAGGCTGGCGGTGTGAGAAGGGGGTGTTGCGCCTGCTGTGCTGCCCCAGCGGGCGGAGGGGAGGGTGAATTTCGCGAGGAGGGATTGGGTGTATGACTGCGGAGTTTGAGGTTGGGTAGGTTGAGAGGCGGAAGCGGAGGAGGCAGCGTCGGGGGAAGGGGGGAAGCCGAGGATGTTGGTTTTGAGGTATTCAATCGCTTGCTTGAGGTAGGCGACACCTGCTGCTTTCAGACGGTCGTGGGCCGAGGCGATGAGTTCCTCGATGGCGGTTTCGTTTTCTTCGAGTCTCGGGTGGACGTATTCCTCGTAGATGTACCGGGCGCCTTGGGTTTGGGGGAGGACGAGGTAGAGGAGGAAGAAGAAGCGGAGGTAGGCGTAGAAGGGGATCCTGTTTGGGATGGTTGTTAGGGATGGTTGTTAGGGGATGGTTGTTAGGGGATGGTTGTTAGGGGATGGTTGTTAGGGGATGGTTGAGTTGGGGGTCAAGGGGGTGGGCGTACCAGCAGAGAAACCACTCGGTCCAGGACTCAACGAGGAGCGCGCAGGCGAGGACAACCCAGTACATGAGCCATGGTGTAAGTTGGGCTGGGTCGGATGTCTTGAGGGCTTTGTAGCTGGCGAATAACGGGAAGAGGAAGGATGCTATAGAGCTGTTTCGGATCGAGAAGCACTGGTTAGAGTGCCATGTTCAGATTTGTCTGGCAGAGAGAGCAATGACGTACGAGAGGAGCTTGGCAAATATGTCAAACATCCTGGGTAAGTATTACAACAGATCTCGGCGCAAATCACAGTCGCTGCGTTTGATCTTTGATTCCGAAAGACGGACTGATCCGGTATGTTGGCGATCACCCTTTGATCCGGCGGCTGTCTTGGGGGAAGTTGGTGTCGCGGGGGGGGTTTGGACGTGAGAAAAGGGCAACAATAGAGAAGGCGATGGCGCCGAAAAGTGGGTAGAGTTGAAGTTAATAAAGAGATGACGGGACCCGACCTGATAACATGAGGCCCGGACAAGGCGGTGATCAGCTAGCGGCACGGGCAGCCTGTCGGGCAGCACGAGGCCACCTCAGACATGGAGCATACATAAGGTACCTAGCTGGAACAGCTCAGCAGGCCAGCTGCTACCTTACAGTTGGTGTCCTTTCGACTTTTCGAGGTGCTGACGGGAGAGGTAAATGCGGAGAACCCCACTATTCGGTGCATCCCAAATGCCCGATAAGGCCGATAAGCAACGACGTAATGCGGGGTCGACCACGCTAAAGCCGCGTCTGTCCGGCACTGGAAGACACAGACTCCAGCCTCCCGTTCAGCTGATCCATGTCTTATTGTGGCTGGAATGCTCGAGCTATCATCTTCAACATCTCACGCATCTATTTGTCTCGACCGGAAAATATCATATTTTGATCATTACATGTTCTATTGCTGCCTAGTATGATCATGCTATGAGTGACGCGGCACTGACAGGCCCAACCACATATCCATCTCCATCGTCATCAACGCGTTGCCAGATGCAAGGGGCACTCTAGTGTACACCGCTCTACGCCTTGCGGCCAATACAGCTGTCAAATACATACCCTCTCCTGCCTTCCCTGGACGCCTTCAACTCGTCATAGAAATCCTTGGCCCACGCCTCCTCACGATGCCTGGGCTTCCACCCCAGCCTCGGCAGCACCGTTCCTGTCATCGCCTTGTTTCCAGCCCATCCTAACTCGGCCAGGTCCACCATACCCGACCCAACATCGTCAGTGATCTCCTGAAGGCTCTTGAGAACAATTGTCTTTTCCTTGGGTGTGTCCTCCCGAGGCAGTACCCCCTCAGCAAAGCAAACATCCAGACACCTTTCGAAAATCTCGGTGTGAAGCACCCGCCCGACCGAAGGGTGGATGATACCGTCCTTGCCCGACGGAATGTACCCAATCCCGCGGTCATACCGTTCCAGAATGATCTTGACCAGGAGAATGTAGGCATCGGCCAGATCCTCAACGTGAACCCAGTCGAAATTGGCCGTGTCATTCAGCTTGAAGCCGTACCCGTTCATCACGGTATAACGCATCAGAACGGGAACGATGATACCCTGCTTGTTGAAGAGACCTGTCCCTTCACCAAAGATGGCCGGTGCGTTGAGACTTACAGCGTTCACACCCAGCTCGTCAGCCAGCGTGAGAACGCCAATCTCGGTTGTCCGCTGCGGCCATGGTCTTCTCTCGTCCTCCTCCTTACACCAGTCATAGGTGGCTCTGCTGTTGGCGTCGTCGAATACACGTCCGGGATGCGCCACTCCGGTGAGAGGCCTGTCGCCGAGGTTGGTGCAGCCCGAGATATGGAGGATCCATGGGGCAGGTGCCTTGGGCTTCACTCGACGAGCAAGGCCTTTGACAAAAGCCTTTGCGCCGTCAGCAAAGAAGCCTGAACCAACATTGACAACAATGTCGTAGTTGGCTGCTATCTGTTCGATAAACTCGAGGTCGCTCAGTCCAGGCCAGCGAATGGTATTGACGCGGTCGCCATAGGTTTCCTTCAGTTTCTGTTCGACATCGTCGGTGCGGGTGAGGGCGTCGATGGTGATGGCCTTGAGGATGGGTTCTTCGCTCTTGACGAACCGGTCGATGAACGTGCCGCCGACATAACCTGTCGCGCCGGTCAGGAGGATCCTTTCGGTGGCCATTTTGATCGTGTGGGAATTGTTTGAATGTATGGAAAATGGGACTGTGACAGCAAGCAACCTGAGAGGACAACCTCTCTATTCATAGTCGCCCATCTTCCGTATTCGCCCCATCGCCGGTGGAAGACCGAGGGTCCGTTGCCTCATTGCAGGCCCCCTTCTCCCAGCCCTTGGGTCGTAAACGCAACCCCACGCTACTGCGCAACAGCACCGAAGTGGTTACGGAAATAGGAAGCAGTGGAGTGGGTAATATGATCTGTTGCAGACTCTGGACCATCAAGGTGCTTCTTTCTGCTGCACTGGAACCGATAACACCCCACTAGCGGACTCTGGAAACGTGAATGCAGGCACCGCTTACTCGGTTTTGGGAATCCGCTCCAGGGGTTGCGAGGGTCAACAAGGGGTTTTGGGAGTTCGCCAAGGGGCATCTGTCCAATGGCGGGAACCAACTGGGTTTCATTGCATTGCTGCAGGCTACAACCAGCTCCTGCAGTTGGGGAGGTGTGAGTGATTCCTCACCACCGGGTCTTTTCCCGTCCACTTCCGCCCAGACTTTGCGGTCAGTGCCGCGGCTTGTTGATCACATACATTATCAGCTGTGCGTAGTATACGAAACGTCGTTTGTAACCGTGCGTTTTTGCCAAAAGATCTGTAATTAATTAACTTTCCATTACCTTTATATGAAAATTAAAATACCATAATATCTTGTTTTAATTACTTTTATTAATTTATTATATTATTATAAGGCTATAATTATATATTTTATTTAGTAATTTTTACTATAATATTAACTTTAAAACTTTTTATATCTATATTCTAGTTTAAAGGCAAATTATACCGTTATTTCTCTTACTTTTACTCTAGATTATAAATTAAAATATGGTTCTTAAGTTTAATTATTGTGACGAACCCCTATCTAAAACCTTTGAAGAGGATACTAGTCGAAGGCGCTTCTGAACAATCCTAGTTTAGTATAGCTAAACAATGTACAACAGTAGCTTATCTCAATCACAATAGTCAAGATACCAACGAATGTGACTTGGATTACATACTGCGGAACTATCTGTTTTACACCGGCCAGTTCTTCTGTATATATAGATATCACGGCTGAGAAGAAGCGGGGTCGCCAGGACCAGTGAGAATAGAGCGACGGATAAGTGGGGCTTGTGGGGCAGGGAATAGCACGGGTCAGTAGATCTAGGAATTAGAAGATAGATCCATAGATCTAGGGATTCAGAGCTAGATCAAGAGATCTAGAGTTTAAAAGCTAAATCCAGGGGAATCTAGGAAATAATAGATAGATCCAAGTACGGAGGTAATTGGAGCCTAAAGTCTATGTATACATGTCACGAATATGATGTGGACACCCGCAAAGAACAACCAATAGGGAAGAGGAGGCACGGCAGCCAATCAAGAGAAAGGAGGATGGACCAGTAAGAGGTGGATCATCCGGGACATGAAGGAATCATGAGCGATTCCCAGGAATCACTCATGATCCTTAGGAGTCGGTCATGATCCGGGGAGAAACAGAATGATCCAGGCTTGGCATTAGGTCTATATATACGGAGGAACTAGATAGCTTGCAGATAGTTCCGCAGTATGCAATTCACAGTTGTATTCACGGCATCTTGTGTTTACATCGAGATATCTTGTTGTGCACTGTTTAGCTGCACCGAACCAATTGTTAGAAGTTACTTTTAACTAGTATCCCTTTCAGAGGTTCTGTACAGGGGTTCGTTATATGTTGTGGTTATTTTGTGTGTTTTCTCACCATTTCAATAGACTTCTATCCTCTAGGTACCTCCGTACCTGGCTCACCTCTGCCAAGATGTGAGCGCCCCATTGTCCTGCAGCCCCGCTGTTATCTGTTACTTGACTGGTCACCACGGCCTACTGCAGTCCCCACTCTGCCTTGCTATATGGTTGGTCTGTGACAATATTGTATTTCCTCTATATGTTCTATACAAAACGTCGTTTATAACTGTACGTTTTTGCTAACAAATTAAAACTATCTAACTCGCTACTTAATTAATATAAGACCGAGGATCGATAATTCCATAAAAATAACTTATAATAGACTATATATAATATTCTTTATAATCTCTAAAACTATAATAATTTTTTTTCTATTATAATTTAATATGTAATAATATTTACTTATATTAAGATAGTAATAAAAGGATAATATTTAATATTATGTTACAGCTAAGCCAACGGGCAAGTTGAACAGTATACATGTGACGAACCCCTGTACAGAACCTCTGAAAGGGATACGGGTTGAAGGTAACTTCTGACAATTGGTTCGGTGCAGCTAAACAGTGCACAACAAGATGTCTCAATGTAAACACAAGATACCGTGAATACAATTGTGAATTGCATACTGCGGAACTGTCTATCTACACCAGCCAGTTCCTCCGTATATATAGATCCTGGGGCCCTGAGGTGCTCGCCCTGCTACGGCCCCGATTACCCATAACACATTGCATCCTGCAAAGTGCTCGTCGTGCTATGCCTCTGATCACTCGTAGCATCTTGCATCCTGCAGAGTGCTCGTGTGTCTTGGCGCCATAGCACTTTCGTCCAGCCCTGATTGGCTGTCTCCTGACTTCTCTAATGATTGGCTAGGGACGTCCTGCGCCCCACATGTGGCGCGGCCTGCTGTTGGGTTAACTGTGACATATTGGTCAGAAGAGGCAAACCTGCACGGCTATGAGTAACTAAGGCACTAACATTTATAATATCGCGAAAGAAGAGAAAAGACACGCAAGCACCCTATTCTAAGGTAATGATCATGGGATTGGGAGTCATCCACTATGGCATGTCCTTAGAACCGGGGGCACCACAGATCATGTACCTATTGGTGGGCGCAACAAAGCCCATACTGAACAGGAACAACTGTAGGGCGGTGGCCTAGTAAAGTCACTGCCCGCGAAAAGTGAGGGCCAAGAAGGCAAGGAAATTGATTCACAAGTTGATATTACAGTGTTGTTGTTGGTTGTTGAGAGTAAAAGTAAACAGTAAGAAAAACCAGCCTTAAGAGCAAACCAGGTGTGGGTCTGGTGAAAGGCGGGCCTTTGTAGGCTCCCCACAACAACAAAGTCACCCTGCAACCGCCAGAGAAGCATTGGAATGGGCAGACCATAGATGTAAATATCCCCTACAATGTCGATGATGTCGTTGGCTTCGAGAAACTGGTGTACACCGACACGGTACGTAATAAGCGTAGACCATGTTGGCGATGGATAGGTCAAGAACATTCATGACAACACCCGCCAACATCAAATAAGTATCAAGACCGAGACTGCCTTGATGGTGATGGCGAGGCGGCAGGAGATTTGGAGGTCTATTTTTGCCAGGATGGCGATGATGAAGAAGCCGATTTTGATTCCGAGTGTGAAGATGGAGATTTTGATTTGAACTGGAGACGAAGGGGCTCGGGTAATGTAGCTGGTAGGTAGTAAGCTTGGGGGAGGGTTAGTTGCTAGTCATCTTTGGAGTTCTGGCTAATGATGAAAGTTTTGATTCATGGAAGGAAAATCAAAGAATATAAAAAAGCGGCACTATGGCTGAAGGGACACGGACGGGTTGGAGATAAATGGGCGTCTACTTCGCTGAAAGAGAAGGATGCCATGCTTTTTCTTGCGAGGTGGTCTTATCGCAAGGCAATTTGCAGGCAAAAGTTTGATAATACATCGCGATAGCTAGGTAAATCTTCCGTTGTTTCTTCTCCTTCTAGGAGGCCGGGCGTAGGAGAGATAGAATGGTTTGGGGAGAAGAAAGCAAAGTGCGATGTTGGCTATGTGGTTGGAATCTAGTATATCGTCAATACCAGGGCAACGAGAGGAATAGTTTCTACACCCTTGTGCTTTTTTCCTTCTGGGTTTCTTCTTTTCCTCGGGTGGCTATGTAACGGGGGTAAAGGGATTGTTGATCTATGGGAGATGTGCTTGTGCCTGGCTGGGGACAGTTGAGTTTGTAAGAGAACCTTGATAACCCTCTCCTTTTCTGACGATAGGAAGACGATAATACTATGCAGGAGCTGTCCAGCCTCAGCCCATTCGCCCCTCGGTTCGCCTGCCCGCTCGCAAGAGTTCCCTCCTCTCGTTTCTGCAGGTTTGTGGCACGTCGTTCCTAAACTGCTGGGGTGGTAGGCTACCAGAACGAATAAGGGCTGGGATTGCCGCATCGTGCTGACGGTTTAAGAAGGGGCACTAAAGGATGAATATCTTGCTTCTTGGGCATGGCTGGGATCCATGCGGAACTGGTTCCGGCCAATGGGATGGGTGGCCGGGGGGGACTACAACGGAGTGAGGTGTGCGAGAGCCGGATGTGGTGATTGGATTTGCTTGGGGGTTGTGGATACCCCTGAAGAAGGGGAGTTTGACAGGGAGGTATGGTTGCGGCTGATAACGACATCGAGAACGTGGGCTTCGCAGTTTATGAGTGGGGGGGGAGGGGGGGGCAGCTGGGGAGTCTCCAGTCCTGGACGTGAGACATTCTTGACAGCGAACTGCTAGTGGCACGTATGGGCGTTGATTGTTTACCTAAGTGGCACGTTGAAGGTGATAATTCTAAGAGGGACTGTGTCAGTAAACTAAGGCCTGGAACGGTGGTAGAAACGCCTCTCGCCTAGGTATCTTAAACGCTTTGGGGTTGTGTTGAAAGGTCTATCAACTATTCTCAAAGGCCTATTTACTTTGGAAATTCAAGACCTATCAACTATTTTCGAGGAGTTAAAGGAGTTTTCTGATGTGCTGGACGACTACCACAAAGATTTTATCAGACTACCGCAGAGTTTTCTCATCATTAGCTTCTTTGAGATGGTTGAGACTGGCAATATGGGCCTGGTGCGTCATAATCTTTCCTTTTTCACTGTAATTACTTGTCAGGCGTTCAAAATCGGCACTGGACTGTGGCTTCCACCCATGCCTGACAGCTATCATACCTACCCAATTGAGCAAGCAATCTGACAAATCAAATCTAGATTGTTAGAGAGTACTCAG